CACATTCGAAACACGCGTTTGCATCCACTGCGACATCTTTAAAAGTAAAGTAGGTAAGGTGAGGTGAGGTGAAGTGAAATGGGGTTTAACGTCGCGTCCAAGATTATTGCACTTATATAGCGACACGTGTGTGTGTGTGTGTGTGTGTGTGTGTGTGTGTGTGTGTGTGGTGCTAGCTCACTGAGATACCATGTCGCAGTTTACCATGAATGCCCCACTCAGGCACAGTATATTGACTCCGAGCCGACCAGTCCTTGTGTTATCCCCTTAATGCTGAGCGCCAGACAGGGTAACAACAACTACCATCTTTTAACGTCTTTTGGTAGACGCGGTCGGGGATCGAACCCCGGACCTTCCGCTCTCCGGGCGGACGCTCTACCACTAGACCACGGAGGCGGTAAGTAGGTAAGGAAACTGATAAGGGAAAAGAGTATAATCTTCTTGTAAAACGGATTGGACACCCAGTGGAGTGTCGCAATGACGAACACATAACGAAATACATATTAGTCATTCGTGTATCCTTAAAACAGTAAACGTCTTTATTGTTATCAGTTTAATGTTTTAAATTTCTACAACCTTGATACATTTAAGTAAGCTTGAATATTTCACAAATGTTGTGTTCGACAAACACACATATCCAAACACGCCCTCAGATTCTCCTTGTCGAGTCCTATATATGCATGTCCTTTGGACTCGACACATGCAACATTCTTCATCTGAAACGTGGCAAAGTAGAATTGGGAGAATAAGTCAGTTTACTTGGGGGAGGAGTTATGGACAATCTCGTGGAAGGTCAGGCCTACACGTACTTAGGGATGCAGATTAGGGACAGACTCCAGAATGCCCATATCAAGGAAAAACTTCGGGCAGAGTACAAAATTAATGTAGACTTGAGTTCAGAGCTGAACGCTCGCAATAAAGTTAAAGCCACAAATTCTTATGCGGAACTCGTCCTTTCATATTCCTTTGGTGTTGTTGATTGGACGAAAGAAGAAATTCAGGGTATTAACACCCTCACACGAAGAATAATGTCAGACAATAGATCCCACCACCCTCGCTCTTCCCTCAATCGCATATATCTAAAAGCTCAATGTCAATGTTAATTTTGTTGATGGTTCTGTACTGCTGGACGGTACAGAAATGAGCGTCAACCAAGCGAAGTGCCATATCAAATCGTCCTAGACTCAGTTATTCAAGGAGAGGCTATCTGAACGACTACTGCACGAGTTGATGTGCAGTGTGTTGAGAAAATGAGCAGCCCTGCAGAGTCCTTTGCTTGGATGAAGTCGGCTGGCCTAAAAAAGGAAACCGAAGGGTTTCTGTTTGCTGCTCGGGACCAGTTACTTCCCACTCGAAGCCGTCAATGTGTGATTTTGCGTCAAAATGTAAATATGAACAGTAGATTATGTAATGAATTTAATGAGACTGCCCAACACATTGTCAGTGGATGCCCCGCGTTAGCACAAACACATTATCTAAAACGACATGATGGTGTAGCTCGACCATTGTATTACCGTCTTGTAGTTTTGACACAGAGGTCCATCATGGTACGAGCCGGAATATGTTGAGGCGTCATGGAAAATGATAAATACAAAATTCTTTGGAATAAGCCTGTTTACAGCCCCAGAAGTATCCAGGCCAACAAACCTGATCTTGTCCTTTTTGATAAATCCAATGAAATCATTTATATCACTGAATTTTCTTTCCCTTTTCACACGAATATGATTGAGAAGATTCAGAAAAAAACATGGCAAATATGCGGACCTCGCTTTCGAAATGTCAGATATTGCGAATTATTTTAACGAAATTAACAAATCAGTGAATTTAGAAATCTCTTAGGAAACTAGACAACGTGTGCATGTGGACTTACTCATACCGTATACCATCTGTATATCACCCCCATACCATACCACCTGTTTATATTACCCCATACACCATACCACCTGTCTATATTAAACCCATACGACACGCCACCTATGTATATCACCCCATACACTACGCCATCTGTCTATAAATAAAGCGACAAAACCCTTTCCATATCCTATAGACGTCTTGGCGTAATTAACTTGTTTTGACTTTGCCAATCCGAACAGAAATTCCGATTAATATGCATAGAGAAACAGATCCGCAAGAAAGGGAGCACAATTGGTGCCCATGGGGATGCCTACTTCTTGTCTAAATGTCTTACCCGAAGATTTTACGTAGATGTTATCAATGAGAAAGTCCAGCATATCACATATCGTTTTCTCAGTAAACTTCAGATAGCATATCATTCCATACACCACACCACCTGTCTATATCATCCCATACACCATGACACCTGTCTATATGATCCTATACACCATGACACCTGTCTATATGATCCCATACACCATGTCGCCACTCTATATGATCACAATCATCACACCACCTGTCTACATCATCCCATACACCATGACACCTGTCTTATCCCCCCATACACAATGTCGGCTATCTATATCATACCATACACCATGTCGCCTGTCGATATCACCCCATTCACCACACCACCTGTCTATATCACCCATACACCTTGTCGCCTGTCTATATGATCCCATTCACCAAGTCACCTGTCTATATCACCCTATACACCACACCACCTGTCTTTATCACCCCATTCACCACATCACCTGTCTATATCACCCAATACACCATGTCGCCTGTCTATATGATCCCATTCACCACGCCACCTGTCTATATCACCCCATACACCATGTCGCCTGTCTATATGATCCCATTCACCACGCCACCTGTCTATATCACCCCATACACCATGTCGCCTGTCTATATGATCCCATTCACCACGCCACCTGTCTATATCACCCCATACACCATGTCGCCTGTCTATATGATCCCATTCACCACGCCACCTGTCTATATCACCCCATACACCATGCCGTCTGTCTATATGATCCCATTCACCACATCACCTGTCTATATCACCCCATACACCATGTCGCCTGTCTATATGATCCCATTCACCACGCCACCTGTCTATATCACCCCATACACCATGCCGCCTGTCTATATGATCCCATTCACCACGCCACCTGTCTATATCACCCCATACACCATGTCGCCTGTCTATATGATCCCATTCACCACGCCACCTGTCTATATCACCCCATACACCATGTCGCCTGTCTATATGATCCCATTCACCACGCCACCTGTCTATATCACCCCATACACCATGTCGCCTGTCTATATGATCCCATTCACCACGCCACCTGTCTATATCACCCCATACACCATGTCGTCTGTCTATATGATCCCATTCACCACGCCACCTGTCTATATCACCCCATACACCATGCCGCCTGTCTATATGATCCCATTCACCACACCATCTCTCTATATCACCCCATACACCATGACACCTCTCTGTATCACCCCATACACCATGACACCTCTCTGTATCACCCCATACACCATGACACATCTCTGTATCACCCCATACACCATGACACCTGTCCATATCACCCCATACCACATACCACCTGTCTATATTACCCCATACACAATACCACTTGTCTATATCACCCCATACACCATGTCGCCTGTCTATATGATCCCATTCACCACGCCACCTGTCTATATCACCCCATACACCATGTCGTCTGTCTATATGATCCCATTCACCACGCCACCTGTCTATATCACCCCATACACCATGCCGCCTGTCTATATGATCTCATTCACCACACCATCTCTCTATATCACCCCATACACCATGACACCTCTCTGTATCACCCCATACACCATGACACCTCTCTGAATCACCCCATACACCATGACACCTCTCTGTATCACCCCATACACCATGACACCTCTCTGTATCACCCCATACACCATGACACCTCTCTGTATCACCCCATACACCCTACCACCTGTCCATATCACCCCATACCACATACCACCTGTCTATATTACCCCATACACTATACCACTTGTCTATATCACCCCATACCACATACCACATCACCCCTAGACCATACCAGCTGCTTATATCATTCCATACTACATGACACCCGTCTATGTTATCCCATACAATATGACAACCGTCTATATTTCCCTATACCACATATCACCTGTCTATATCTCCCATACCACATACCACGTGTCTATATCATCCTATACCACATATCACCTGTCAATATCACCCCATACACCATAGCACCTGCCTTTGCCACTCCATACCACATACCATCTGCCTTTATCATCCCATACCACCTGTTTTCATCATTCCATACGCCTTCTCATCTGTTAATCGGGAAACGGTTACTATGGTTAATGCAGCGTTTTCGTAGATTTGACACACTGTACATTATTGATAACTCCCGCTGGCATGTTTACTTCAACGAAATGAAGCTAGGATAACAAAGCATTACCTTATAATAAGATAAACTGTAGGCCTTTCTCATCATGAAAGATCATTATGACGGAATTCATATCATGTAACCTCTGCTCGTATAAATTTAAAATATTGCATCCGCGTGTCATAACTGTTAAATTATGTTTTTATGGACACTCTTGATAAAACCAATCCTTGTTTAACCATTGTCCGGGCTATTTCTACTCATAGATTCTACTCTGAGATAAACACACATGTAAAGGGAACAAGTACTGGTACCACTTAATTCTCTGCCATCTGTTTGGTGCAATTATTCTAGGCTAAATTGCGCTTCAATTCACCGCTACCTCAGACACAATCTCACGACCATGTACCTTGCTAAATGTTAATAAAGCAAGCTTTTCGGTGATAAAAGAGAGTAATTAAGGCCGTTCAGGCACCAATGATCTACAGCAATTAACGAAGTAGGCTGAATGGTTTAATTTAAGAGGGTAACATACAGTTCTCCTGTCGCTACGGTTTTCACTCGGCTCTTGCAATACTTTCCGGATATTAGCGTAGCCATTTACAACACAGAGTACAAATACTGGCAGCATTGCAGAGTCTGGCAGTCGCCCGATATCAGATCAATAGATTCTCACAGCTCCTCGTAGGCAGGAGGTTTCTCATTGAAAGTTCCCTACCACATCGGATGAAAGTTGTTAAGTCAGTGGCCTTTCACTGACTGTCTTTGAAACAGATGTTTTTTTTTCCATGTCAGGGAACATTATGGGTATTTGAACAATTCTTGAGAAGAGGGATTTATTTTAGCAGTTGAAACACCAGGGTGAAAACTGAAATACGATCTAAATTTAACCTGATAAAAGTTTGAAGAAAGGGATGATGCAAATCAACTGTGAATGGAACGTTGAGTAGGGTGGGGGCTGTGTTTCGTATCCCACCTCCGTGGTAAAAGACATGGACACTACATGTTGCCTGTGACAACAGAGCCAGTTGGCAATGATGTGAATTTGCTGGCGTCAGATGATTAAACCTCCTCATGAGGGTTGGAGAGCACTGCCGCAATACACAAGCATAATAGAGGACGAACTAATCAGCCTTACAGAGGACACGTATGCAGGACCGCCGTCAGCTAAAGGTGGTCCACTGGCATGATAGCCAGTGATCTCTGTTGAGAAGTCATGTCATAGATCTACCTGTGATTTTTGCAAGGGTCAGTTTGTTCCGTCCGCTAGTGGCCATCATGTGGCGTCTTTGGACTTACCTCTTCATAACTTTCCTATGTAAAGGTAAGCTTTTGTAAACTTATAATATAATATTGTGTATATAAAAGACAATTTGTATATAACACTCAATTTTGATGTTTTTATTTTATAAAATATGAATGTGTTTTTGGTATTGCTATATGAACGTGTTTTGACAGACCCCTTCGACATGTACATATTCCAAACAAGAGAAGACATTGGACTCGCTACTCATTGACTTTGACATTGTCATTGTCGAGGGGTTTTCATATTCGTTGCTATCTTCAGTTGATTCACGGCACTTGGTGATGGACCTTGATAGTGTATTCTTTTTTATCATTAGATATTCAAAATTCGTAAAAACGTCAGATATAAAACATTAAGTTATAGTGTTATATAATATGTGTATTTATTTTTGTCTCTGAAGGTATTTACTCACTCCATAAGGTTATATAGGAATGCCATGCTCGATAAATTTTATACTCTGTCTCTATATATGTTTACCTTATCTACGAAACAAACACTGCATGTCTATGAGGGTACTTGTTCATTCGACCCGTGAAGTTCCGGGGTAGAATAGGCCTTCAGCAACCCATGCTTGCCGTAAAAGGCAACTATGCTTGTCGGGTGGTCAGTCTCGCTGACTTGGTTGATGCATGTCATCGTATCCTAGTTGTGTGGATCGATGCTCATGATGTCAATCACTGGATTGTCTGGTCCAGATTCGATTATTTACAGACCGCCGTCATATAGCTGGAATATTGCTGAGTGCGGCGTAAAACAACAAACAAACAAACTAAAAAAAACCATATTCATTCTCTGTTTATGTCAGTGTGAGGCCTTAACCTAATTAAAACTCAAGACAAAAGATGGTATCTTTGCCAACGTACGTGGAATAGTAATCTCATATATATTCCATGGCCAGCAGTATCAAATATCTAAATAATGACTTACCTCTTCTTAAATATCAAGTATCCGGGCAAACATTCTGACAGAAGGGTCAGATACAATATATTAATTCCCTGGATCTCTATGGTGGAAATGTCAGTTGAAACGTCATCTACACAAACTAATACCAGCTTGGTTGAAATGTGGAAGATGCACAACACAAAGACAAACATTGTCATTAGCCGCTAGAGCATCTCTAATGTCCGTAATTCTGTCGTCACCGCGGTAATCAGCTGCCGCGATTCCAACATTCGTGTACTTCAGTGTGTGCCAGTCGGAACTGCACAGTCAGTTTGTCTGCTACCCGTTTTCCCCTGAACTGCACAGACTCAGTTTGTCTGCTACCCGTTTTCCCCTGAACTGCACAAACTCAGTTTGTCTGCTACCCGTTTTCCCCTGAACTGCACAAACTCAGTTTGTCTGCTACACGTTTTCCCCTGAACTGCAGAGACTCAGTTTGTCTGCTTCCCGTTTTCCCCTGAACTGCAGAGACTCAGTTTGTCTGCTACCCGTTTTCCCCTGAACTGCAGAGACTCAGTTTGTCTGCTACCTGTTTTCCCCTGAACTGCAGAGACTCAGTTTGTCTGCTATACCCGTTTTCCCCTGGACTGCAGAGACTCAGTTTGTCTGCTACCCGTTTTTTCCTGAACTGCACAGACTCAGTTTGTCTGCTACCTGTTTTCCCCTGGACTGCAGAGACTCAGTTTGTCTGCTACCCGTTTTCCCCTGAACTGCACAGATTCAGTTTGTCTGCTACCCGTTTTTCCCTGAACTGCAGAGACTCAGTTTGTCTGCTACCCGTTTTCCCCTGAACTGAACAAACTCAGTTTGTCTGCTACCCGTTTTTCCCTGAACTGCACAGACTCAGTTTGTCTGCTCGTACAATCTCTGTTTGTTACAAACCCCCCACAAACACATGCAAAGGCAAGTCAAATGTTCACCTGAAATAAAAACAACAACACGGGAGCATATGGTTACAAGTCAAAATAGGAAATTGCATCGGACATCATGTTTGTGCCGGTTGGGAAAATTTGGAAATGTCCTCAACATGTCTACCATAAAACGCTTTGTAAGCTTTGGTGAGGCCTTGAATTTGTACCCTTGATCAAACAACGTTTGAGCAAGACTCGTATGACGCTCTTTGAAATCTTGATGGAAAGAGCATCCTCAATTGTGCCTCAACAGTTTTGAAATGTAGATATCAAGTGCTGGACCTGCTGGAATAGTGCTGGACATAACGTTAAAGTTGACTTTGAGAAAGCTGAAGTCATCCACACAGTCTTGTGGAGAGTTTTCCCTGTCATTCTGAATCTTTATGCATATTAAGAAATCTGTATGTCCATTGTATGGTTCCGACTATATCAAAACCACGTGTTTATGAATCACTCAAATATTGGTGATACAAGGTGTTTGCGAAAATGTTAGCGTTCGGACGTTTCCTTATTTGTAATAGGGGCGGTCGGGTAGCCTAGTGGTTAAAGCGTTCGCTCGTAACGCCGAAGACCCGGGTTCGATTCCCGACATGGGTACAATGTGTGAAGCCCATTTCTGGTGTACCCCGCCGAGATATTGCTGGAATATTGCTAAAAGCGGCGTAAAACCATACTCACTCACTCATTATTTGTAATATATGTAGATACTGAGTACTTCGCCCTGTTGTTCCCGGTACCCACTCATTGTGATTGTAATGCTTATTACTCATGTGTTGACATATGTGCTATAAATGTCTGGCATCGCTTGGTAACTGCAACAGTGACGAGGGACACTAATCGCTATCATTAATAACGTGTGTCATCACCATACTCCTACGATACTTAGTATTCAGTGTAGGGCTCAGGGCAATTTGAAATGTTCGCAACATTTGATACATTCTTAACGTGGTGATCCAAACAAAGATCATATTCGTTACTTGAACGTATATGTTTCGAGAGCATTTGAATATTTGGGTTAGCGGTTAGTTTGTAATTTAGGTTAGGTAGTATTTTATATTAGAAATAACCAAACCGATACAACCGCTGATTCCACTTATCTAACTCTATTCATGATAAGAATATTAACATGAAAGAAATATTCCCTAAAAATATTTTGCAAAAATATGAATGAACCACTGAAAATCAGTGATGACCATGATTGATCGGTGTTCGCGAAAAGGGTAGTGTCTCTCTCTCTCCCTCTCTTTCTCTCTCTCTCTCTCTTTCTCTCTCGATTCGCTGTGCAGAGCGCAGAGTTCGCCCCGATTATGTTCCTGGGTTTGTCAGCACTGGAATACTGTTAAAAGCGGCGTTAAACCCAACTTACTCACTCACTCACTCTTTCTCTCTCCTCCCACACTCTGTCTCTCTGTGTTCAGTAACGGTGACACGACCATGGACTGGTGCGTCATTCAGAATCATTGTATTAAATGGATACGCCATTGATTGATTTATGACCTAGTGAAGTGTTAATAACTTCCCACCGATTTTAGATTCTTCCGCCGCCTTCCCAATAATATGACGCAACTCGAACACGAAATGTACAGAATCTGTGACTGACAAAAACAAATAGACAGCTGGTATGATCTAGGTGGTTCTGAGGGGGTGTTTTCCATACATGCCAAAAGCATGCCAGTGGTCGCATTATTGACTGCGCTCATGAAAGCTGAATATTCGCTACAGAGTTCAGTACATTACGCAATTGCATGGTAAAGCCAAGTGTATTTTGTGAGGCAGCATATTGATTTCATGTTTGTCAGTAATATTGTCCGTCGTGCCATAATCCGTTAATATTGCTGGCAAATATGTTAAAATATGCCTTCGAAAGATACAACACAAACGCCCGTCTACTCACACAATGATACCACACAAACACATGTCAACTGAAACAGTGATATCACACAAACACACGTCTACTCACACAGAGATTTCACACAAACAAACGTCTACTCACACAGTGATACCACACAAACACATGTCAACTGAAACAGCGATATCACACAAACAAACGTCTACTCACACAATGATGTCACACAAACACATATCTACTCACACAATGATGTCACAAAAACACACGTCTACTCACACAGTGATGATTACACAAACAAACGTCCACTCACACAGTGATGATTACACAAATGTACGTCTACTCACAGTGATGATAACACAAACACACGTCTTCTCACAGTGATGCCACACAATCACACGTCTACTCACACAGTGATGCCTCACAAGCACATGTCTAGTCACACAGTGATACCACAAACACACACGTCTACTCACACAGTGATGTCACATAAACACATGTCTACTCTCACAGTGATGTCATACAAACACACGTCTACTCACACAGTGATGTCAAACAAACACACGTCTACTCACACAGTGATGTCACATAGATATCCGTCTACTCACACAGCGATAAATCAAACAAACGTCTACTCATAACACAAACATGCATCTACTCACACAGTGATGTCACATAAACACACGTCCACTCACACAGTGATGTCACATAAACACACGTCCACTCACACAGTAATGATAAAACAAACACACGTCTACTCACAGTGATGTCTCACAAACACACGTCCACTCACACAGTGATGATAACACAAACACATATCTACTCACACAATCATGTCACAAAAACACACGTCTACTCATACAGTGATGATTACACAAACAAACGTCCACTCACACAGTGATGATTACACAAATGTACGTCTACTCACAGTGATGATAACACAAACACACGTCTACTCACACAGTGATGTCACACAAACACACGTCCACTCACACAGTGATGATAACACAAACACACGTCTACTCACAGTGATGATAACGCAAACACCCGTCTACTCACAGTGATGTCACACAATCACACGTCTACTCACACATTTATGCCTCACAAGCACATGTCTAGTCACACAGTGATACCACAAACACACACGTCTACTCACACATTGATGTCACATAAACACATGTCTACTCTCACAGTGATGTCATACAAACAGACGTCTACTCACACAGTGATGTCACATAAACACACGTCTACTCACACAGTGATGATTTCGCAAACACACGTCTACTCACACAGTGATGTCACATAAACACACGTCCACT